ACACACACACACCCCCGCCCCCCGTGCTCTTTGTTATTTCTCCTTTAGCCCCTAGTGATATGCTTGAGGGTCCTTTTGAACCACTCTAAACCACTTACTTTTCTCCCCTGTGTCTTGAAACGGCTGGACGAACCCAACAACTCTGAAGCTAAGGCTCCCCAAAAGCTTTACTATATGATTGATTAAAAGGATCTGCTTATTGTGCATGAACTTGCATCAGATTTTATAAACGACACGCCATTTTAAAAACATGATGGAACGTGCATATTCTTACTCCAGACCCTGCGTTTAAGCTAATATATAGCTTCAATAGAAGTATTCATTACAGCAGCTTGAGTTTTACAGATTGTTTGCAACTGTAAAGGCTAAAATGAAGTAGTACCAAGGGCAAAAAAAAGTTAAGGATAGCTTACTGTTTTCCCTCCTGTCACAAGAAACAGCCACTTTGGGGTCACATCGCCAAAGTTAAGAGCAATTATTCTGAAAGGATACGACACACTGTGATACACTCTTCTGGTAGATTAAACATACACAATATTTATTGCCAATACTCAATTCCAAAACTGCAAATTGTTAACAACCAATTTTGTACTGCTGTTAGACGCATGAATTGATAGATAAAATCTGAAGCCGATAAAATCTTTGTTTAATTAGAAGCAAAATATTCAATCAGTGGCTCAAATCTAATCATCGCTCAGATACCTCAGTATCCATTTCTCTTATAAAACTTGGCTCTTGCAACCACGTCATTGGCGTAGTCATTGTGTGTTGTGCCAATATCCATTCTGTCATAGTTCCGGACGTTGTTAGGTCCCGCATTATAGGCTGAAATCCCACCTGAAATGAGAGTGAAAGAAACGCATAAACAGAGGTGATACTTTGTCAGTAAATAAGCAAACAAACAAAAATCACAACTTAAATTTGTTGCTTTAGTTTGCAGCTCTCTCTTCACCAGTATTGTATTGCCGTTTCCAGCTATTTTTGCCGCTGAGGTGTTCCTCTTGCGTTTTAACTTTGTGAAGAAACCATAACCTCCTCCTTTGCATCCAGACTTGGTGATCGTTGTCCCCTTGCTGTATTTTGCTAATGTAACATCATCAGTTGCATGACTGCTTCCTTTTCTGCGTATTCCTTCATGTCTACCTGCGTTAATAACCTCAGCCGTATTTGTGTTGTAGCTGGAATAAAGGGATCCAGCCATGACGGCTTCAGCTGTAATCCGTGCTCAAGAATATAACCGTGTTTCCTCCGGAGAGGACCATACATTTTCAAAATTAATGTGTTCCTTCCTTGGAGTTGCCGGGATAGCAGCTTTTTGCAGGTGGCTATAGAAACACAAGACAAATGCAACGGAGGGAGGTGGGGAAAATCCCACCCTTACTCCTTGCAACTGAAAAACGTCGTGACTTTTGCCAGGCTTTCCAAAAGCGTGCTAGAAAGCGAACCACATCTTATTCCTCTGTTCCTTTTAGTGAGTGTCAAGAAATATTGTTCCACGCCTCAATAAAATGAACAGGGGGACTGGGATGTCTTTAGTTTTCCATAACGTGCTCGGTTTTACAGCGTTATCGTGCTTGACTCTTACGTGTGAAGCGTTTTAAAGCTGACAAAATTCTACCTTTGAGCTGCTGTTCCTTTGTCCATGTAGGGAATTTCTTCTGGATTTCCCTTATCATCCCGCATAAAATCTCTGTGCCTTCTGCTAAGTGCTCTTCACTGTCCCATGACCCGACAATCTTATGGTAACGTTTGTCAACCTGAAAGTGAGACAGCACTATCAGCACACCAGAAACCCCACCATTTGTCCAGAGCTCTTCATTGCTTACAGGCTGCTCGTATTCCTTTTGATCTCTAACCTCCTGGTTTACCTCTTTTGTAATTGTATAGAGAGGAAGCAAACTTAGCTCGAGGCGCAGGTGAAGCCAGCAGATGTGTGAATAGCAGACTATCGGGGCACTGAGGGGGAATGCCTGCCCTGCGTCCTTGTGTGCCAGAGCCTTAAAAATCCAACACAGCTGCTGCTGCTGCTGTAAAGGTGACAGGGTGCAGAAAGCAGGCTTACTGCTGCTTAAGCTTTTCCAGCTGCAAAGTGACTGCTCCTCTCCTCCCCAGCTGCAGCAAGGGTGGGAAAACCCCTGTTTCCTCTAGGGATCTCCCCTCGATCTCTGCCCCAGTTCTCCTCCTCCTCCTCC